AGGCAGGTCCAAATAGGGGGGGCAGCGGGTAGGAGAAATCTAGGTTTGGGCTCTAGAGGGATTTGGTGTTGCTCATATTTTACAAGAGATGCTTACGTATAAATCTGATCATATTAGAGCTCGGCAAGAAGTACTTGGTACTACGATCATTGGGGGAATAATACCTAAACCCGAGGATGCTCCAGAATCCTTTCGATTACTCGTTCGAGAACTACGATCTAAATATTTTACTTGTCGTAGAATATTATTCTCGTCATACCGGACGGGTTATTGAGATTTAATGGTTTGGCACCCATACCGGACGGGGTATAGAGACGACCATTTAATTGAGAATATTGAAGGAAAGGGATCACGCGTAACAGACACATCCCTATGAACCCCAATGGATAATAGTAGGCCAATAAAAGGAAATATTGTTATTTGATTTATTGAATATGAATTTATAATGTGTGGCTGTTACCAATTTGCATATGAAATCATGATAAGTGTTATGTTATTGTCTCTATAGGTTGTTTTGTAAATCTCACTGCGGTAAGCGGATGGTAAATGGTTTTATTTTTAATAAATGTATTGGTTTAAATTAAGTGCTCAATTAGTTGTTTTGATTTTCTACCAACCTTCATTTCTGTGTCAGTGATATAGTGTGATATTCTTACTGAGTTAGTGTAGTTCATCCCTTATTTAATCATTTCAAATCAAGAGGATCAGGATCCAGAGCTCGATCTGCAATAAGGTTGCGAGTAGAATGCTAGTTTTATTTATTTTCCGTTCATTTCTTTGTTTCTTTGTATTTCTTTCAAAATGTTGAATTCCGGAACACAAATTAGTACTTTAAGTTATTGTGTAAAGAATATAAACCTTAAATATTTATTTTGTTTCTGCACTTTAATTATCATTTATTTTTTTTAAATATTTCCGGGATCATTACAGGCACAATGTCCGAATAAATGCAATTCGTGGTACGTACAAACCAAAATAGGAAGGAGGGTGATCAAATTGTCAATTCATTGTGGAAAGTTAGATATTAATATATACAAATATTTTAATTTCTTATGTTTTTTCGATGCATTAATTGATAATTATATCTCTATCATTAAAACTTCAAATATCATTAAAAGTTCAAAAAATTAATCAATTCATAATTTTTTTCTAAAATTAGATGTTTTAAATACTTTTTTGGTTAAGTACATATTATAGTTTTTTTTTCTTAATAAATTCTTTTATAATAAATTAAATACAGAAAATATTGAGAGAGAGATTCAAATATTTATAGGCATTTAATTTGAAGAAGTGCTTTGCTGGATGAATTCCTCCAGTTCCCTTAATAGCCACCAGTTTTAGAAATCAGGTATGGGTTACTCTCGCCTCCATTAATTCACACACCCTACAACCTTTCATATTTGCTGGACATGATTCATCATTTCCTCTTTTTATATATATATATATGTATATATATTCATACCCAATTACGTACCTAAGCCAATCATGATTTCAAAAAGAGGTCAAACCTAACCCGTTCCTTAATTACATGTTTTTTAAATATTAAATTTAAAAAACATATAATCCCAAAATCATACTTCACTCACTTAAAAAATAAAGCTTCACTGCGCATATAATTACACAAAACAAAAAAAGAAAAAACATATATTTATAATGTTAGATCGAAAAAAAAAAAATTCATTATAAAAAAATAAGAATACATTACCAATAACGTTATAAATTTGATACAAAAAATAAAATAAAATTTCTACTCAAAATATTTTTTAGAATACACACAAAATATTCTTCAAATATATACAAAATATCCTCGTAATCTACCAACATCAACAATTATGTTAAGAGTAAATTCTCTTACATTAATTTACTAAAAAGTTACAGCAAGTGAAGGTAACGAGTAAAAGGAGGACATACAATATGCATAATGAAGGTACAATCGCAAATTACATGACTGGCACCCATATCTACCATGCATTTTCTCTCTTTTTCTTCTATGTGTATATATATATATATATCAGCATCCATGAGGTAAGTATACATATATGATCTTCAACCACCCATCCATAATAAGTAGTTCATCCATGAATGTTTTTCTTGCCCTGCAAAAATAACCATAGAATGCCCACCCAACATCAAATTATATGATGCAAAAAACTACTTGATATATATATATAGGAGTGTTGATAGTGTTACATTTGTTGGTAGATTTGCAGGCGTTAAGGAGTTGGGTTTGGGAGATCGACGAGCTGTTTTGTGGTGGATGAAAGGTCGCCTGCCATGAGAATGATCTGGCGGAGGAATTGATGAGTGTGTTTCTGGCCCTCTATAATCGATTTCGTAAATCTCAGAATCCAATCCTCCTAATCACCAAAAATCAAAACAAACCAGAATTACATGAAGACCTATATATATATATATTATATAGAGTTTAATTTGTAAAAAGTTAAAGAACAACTTACAGACCTGTTGAAAAAGAAAGTGGGAGGATGAGGATGAGGAAGATGAAGATGGTGGCAGATTTGATCTCCATGGATTGTTCTGAGCAATGTTTTAAAGCCAAGGTTGGATATGATATATATAAAGGAGGAGAAGATGGATGGAGGGTGATTAAATTAAAGTGACGGGGTGGTTCAGGTAAAGAATCACAGTAAAGTGAAGTTGAAAATTTTCAGCTTTAATTTTTTTAGCAATTGAAACAGTCACCATCTCCACATGCAACCAATAAGCTAATTCCCTACGTGTAAATGATGGCGTGGGGTTTCAGCATTTATGAAATACGACCACACCCTTATTATTTTTGCTTTTTATTTTTTTGTTTATTGTATTTTCATGAATATCCTTACAAATTTATTTGTTTCTTTGTTTCCTAAAAAATATGTATATATATATATATATATATATGTATGCGCTTGTGTACCAACATGTACACTACGTATGTATTCTTTGTTGCTTATTGAAGAAATAAAATTAATATAATTATCTGATAATTTTTTTTAGCAAAGGCTTATTTAATTTTTAAATTTGGGAAAAGAAATTCTAAAAAAATTAAGTGAAATTTAATACTGACTCTATTTTTTAAAATATGTGTTATTATTAGTGAGTAAATTCTCCTTAATATTTAAATTTATAAATATCTATTGAAAATAAAATTGTATATATGAATCATATATATTTGAAGTAAGATGCGGACAACTCCATGTGTGTATTATTAAAGCGTCTTACACCTCCCTCTTCTCATTTTCTTTCTTTGGGCTTAATTTCAACAATCTTTTATTGTATATATGCATATATATTATATATATATATATATATCCATCCACGACAGGATGTATCAGACTAGAGCTATGTTCAACTAACTATTTTTTTAATAGGTAACTTTGAAATAATAGATCTAGAGAATTATTTTTAAAAACTTCTAATTATAAAGTTAACATATACAAAAAAAAGGTATCTATTCTAATATGTTACACTTAAAAACACTTAAGTCATAAAATTAGAAACTTAACTCTATACTAATTGTTATCTCAAATAATTAATGCAACTAAAAAGGAGGGTGAATTGAGTTTCCCAAAATTTTATAAATTTTTAAATTTGTCCAACCACCCAATACTGAAAAGTGTTTTCAATAGACAATTTTCAATTAATTAAGTGGTAGTAAATAGTGAAAAAATTTGTAATAAAATTAATATAACTCAAGAATAAGAAATGCAACAAAATTAAATAAGATCAAATGAAAAAGGATGCGAACACAATTTATAGAGGTTCAACCAAACATATGTCTATGGGACTCGAAAGTGACTTGGAAAGATCGTAATTTTGATATCTTAAATGCTAATCAAGTCAAATGTCAAATATAGATTCAGAATAACGAGTGCATGACAAAAATTTATACAGCGAAACAATTAATATAAATTCCTTACAAATATATATATGATTTCCAATTACATACATATAACTAAAGCCTGACATAGTTATAAAATACAAAAAAAAAACACAAAAGAATGTCACTTCTTTCACTATGCTATTGGACTCATCAGAATGCGAAAATAATAATGCAATCAAATTTTGTGGATCATGAGATTCTCATAGACTTCTAAGGATAGGTCACCATACGTGTGTGCATGCGGAGGGGGCGTGCACGCACAGTGCCCAGCACCCACGGAGGCAAACAGTTTTCTCGCGGGATTTTTCCTGCGAGCTGTTTTTCTCCCGTTTCGCTATTTTTTGATTTTTTCTTAAATTTTTTTCTTTGAAATAAAATAAAAATAATTTAAAATATTTTAAAATAAAATAAAAATAAAATTAATAAAATAAAATAAAATTAAAATTAATAAATAAAAATAGATTAAAATCACGATCTTAAGAAATGTTAAACAACATAAATTAACTTAAGTTTAAAGCGGCCAAAAGCCCAAATAAATAGTTTCATAATCATTTTAGCATAGTGATAGGTGGAGTTTTACATGCTATAATATCTTGAAAGGTCCTACAAAATGGTGACTTAATTTTTCTCTTTACCCATATCACATGTTTCCTTTAGCCGGAAAGATCTTAAGGAAAACACAATCACCCATGACAAATTCTAAGTCCTTCATTCGATTGTTTGCATAGCTCTTATGTCGTTTTTAAGCAGTGATGAGATTCTTACGGATGATAGAAATCTTTTCTACTATCTCCTGAATGAGATTTGTCTCTAGAAGACATCTATTCCCAACTTCATTCTAACAAGTTGGGGATCGGCATCACCTACCATAAAGTGTCTCATAAGGAGTCATATCGATACTGGAGTGATAGCTATTGTTGTAAGCAAACTCCACCATTGGTAAGTGTTTGTCCCAACTACCACTAAAATTCAGTACATAAGCTCTTAACATATCCTCCAGCATTTGAATGGTCTTTTCAGATTGGTCATCAATTTTTGGATGGTAGGTGGTGTTAAAGGAAAGTTTCGTGCCTCAAGCTTCTTGAAAATTGGGTCAGAATTGAGACATGAAATAAAGGTCCTTATCGGACACCACATAAACTAGAACACCATAGAGTTTGATTATCTATTGAACATATGACCCAATAAATTTATTAACCAAGTATGTGGTCTTTATTGCCAATAAATGGGGCGATTTGGTTAGTCTGTCAACTATGATCCAAATTGTATTGTGACTTTAAATAGTTCTTGGTAACCCTTTGACAAAGTCCACAGTCACATACTCCCACTTCCATTCTGGGATGGGTAGACACTGTAAAATATCACTAGGTCTCTGATGTTCCATCTTAACTTACTAGCAAGTAAGGCATCTGGAGATAAAGTCGACTATTTCATGTTTCGTACCCAGCCAAAAAAAATAGAATCTTAAATCCCGATACATATTTATGCTTCTTGGATGGATAATCAACTTAGAGGCACGAGTTTTCTTTAAAATATCCAATCTGAGTTCGGGGTCGTCAGGTACCCATAATCGATCTTCGAACCTAAGGGTCCCATCATTAGACATTCTAAAGTTATACTGATCCTCTGTTTTTAACTTCTTCTTTTATTTCTCTACCTCAAAATTTGTAGATTGGGCTTTCTCTGAGTGAGAGTGGACTAGATCCAAATTTAGGCAAGATAGACGCCCTTACCATAATGGTTTAGTCAAAGACCCTAGATTGTCTCAAGCATCCTTCATTTTGAAACTATCATTTGGGCTAATAGCGTCGATTTCTTTTTGCTAAGAGCATCAACGACTATGTTACCCATAAAGGGGTGATATAGGATCTTGCAGTTATAGTCCTTTAAGACGTCCATCTAATGCCTCTGTCGCATTTTAAGTTCCTTTTAGGAGAACATGTACTTCAAACTTTTATAATCGGTGTAGATCTCAAAGGTTTGACCATACAGATAGAAATGCCATATCTTGAGGGCAAAGACTATATTTGTTAAGTTAAGGTCATGGGGGTAATTTCGTTCATGCAGCTTTAACTGCTTAGAACCATAAGCTATTACCCAACCATGTTGTATGAACATGCATCCCAAACCAATGTGAGATGTATCACAGTTAACCTGAAAACAATCGGTACTGTCGGGATGAATCAATATTGGGGGCAGAAGTGAGTCGACGCTTGAGCTCGACAAAGCTCTCTTCACAGTAGGGGTCCCAATAGAAAATAACCCTCTTCCTTATGAGATGGATCAAAGGGATGACAATGTGGGAAAAAACCTTTAATGAAATGATGACAATATCCTACTAAAATTAATAAGCATGGATCTCAGTGACATTAGTTGGTTGAGTCTAATTAATCAGTGCCTCAACCTTAGAGGGGTCCACAGAAACACTATTACCAAAAACAACATGACTAAGGAAGGAAATTTGATCCAAACAAAAAGAGTAATTACTAAACTTGGCATACAATTTGTGTTTTCTAAGTGTTTCTAAAACATGAGCTAAGTGGATAACATGTTCCTAGGAGTCCTTGGAGTACATGAGGATGTCATCAATAAAAATAATGACGTATTAATCTAATGCAGGCTTAAAAATCTGGTTCATGAAGTCTATAAATATTGCAAGAGCGTTAATTAGCCCGAAGAGCATGATCCTGAATTCAAAATGGCCATATTTGCAATGGAACGTTGTCCTAGGTATATTTTCAGTTCTAACCCTCAATTGGTGATAGTCCAACTAGAGATCAATCTTGGGAAAGATCGATGAACCTTGTAACTGGTCAAATAGGTCGTCAATATGGGGTAAGGGATACTTATTCTTAATTGTCACCTGATTGAGCTCCATATAGTCAATATATAACTAGAGGGTTCCATCTTTCTTCTTGGAAAATAATACTGGAGCACCCCATGGAGTATTACTTACTCTCATAAAGCTTTGCTTTCGTAGTGCTATTAACTAATGATTCACTTCCTAAAATTCTATTTGGCCCATACGATAGGTGGCCTTAGAAATTGGTTGTCCCTGGAACTAGGTCGATGGAGAATTCAATCCTCACTTGGGTGGCTGACCTAGAAGCTCCACAAAAAAATGTCTGAATAGTTACAGACTACTAGAATTGATTGCATGGCATTCTTAGAGTCCATTTGCCTAAGCATCAAAGAGGTTAGGAAAAGATAGGTAATGTGACATCCTAAATACTAGTTAAAACATAAAGGTGCCAGATACAGAAACAGATACGAGTGCATTTAAGATAATTAAATGTAACAGAATAAAAATATTACAATTCCATACAAAATAACAATAGAGTTCTAAATCTTATAATACTGAGGCAAAACAAAATTAAATACAAGGCTCTACAAAAGATGGACTCATCAGAGTGCGAAATAAAACATGCACTCGTAATAGTTCACGGATCCACGGGATTCTCAGAAGTTTCAAGAGGCAGGTCCGATTCCTCACATCGTCCTCATTTGAGGGGGGCGTGTAAAAGGGTAAGTTCCACATAGTCAGTAAGGAAAAGAGTATTTAAATAACATCACTAAGATTTTAAAGGTAATTAAACCTAAATAAAGGGGACCTTATTTACTCATTATTGAGAATTATGCTGGAGGTCCATTTTAATAATTATAAAAATAGTTTACTTTATTTAAAAAAAATATCAGATCAATCATTTCAAATCATTTCATAATTATAT